AAGCAGATACACAGTCCTGAGCTCATTTCCCACTATTCTCTTTTAAACACATGGTGTATGTAATTCTGTTCCTGGCTTTTTTCATTTAGTAATGTATCTTCAAGATATTTCCCTATTGGTATATAGAGACTTAGGTTGTTCTTGGTTTTAAACGATTGCTTAGTATTTCATGGTATGCATGTACCATAGTTTCATTTCACCAATCTTCTATTCATGGACATTTTGGTTGTTCCAAAACTTTCACTATCATACAGTTGAGTATCCCTTATCTAAAATGCTTCCGACTAGAATTGCTTTGGAATTTTTTTTAGATTTTGGAATATTTGCATTTTTGTAATGAGATATCTTGAGGGGAGAACCCATGTGTAAACACAAATTCATTTATATTTCATATATATCTTACATGCATATTCTGAAGGTAATTTTATACAATATTTTTAGTTTGCCTGCCTTTGGCTGGTGACCCATGACATGAAGTCAGGTGTGGAATTTTCCACTTGTCAACACTTACAAATTTTTGGATTTTTGGAGCATTTGTGGATTTCAGATTTTTGGAGTAGTAATGCTCAACCTGTGCTCAACAAATAACTCTGTGCATTGTATTACTTCATGTGTGTGTGGACATTCCCCATCTGTGGTAGGCAGAATAATGATGTCCCAAATACGTCCATGTCCTAAGGCTTAGAACCTGTGAATATGCTATTTTACCTGGCAAGGGCGGAGATAAGATGGTTGATCAGCTGACCTCAAGGTAAAGAGATGCACCTAGATACCTGTTGTACCAAATGTAATCATAGCATCCTTTAAATGTGAAAGGTGAAGGTAGAATGGTCTTTGATGCCGATGAGACTCCACCTCAACTGGCCATCAGTGGCTTTGAAGGTGGAAGGAGCCAGAAGCCAGGCAATGCGGGCAGCCTTGAGAAGCTTAAAAAAATGAGGAAGCTCATTCTCCCTGAGAGCCACTGGGAGGATGGCAGCCCTGCTAACACCTCGATTTTAGACCAGCGAGACCTGTTTTGGACTTTTGTCTTCCTGGACTCCACAGTAATAAATCTGTGTTGTCATAAGGAACCGAGCATAGGCTGATTTGTTACAGCAACACTAGGAACACTCTCATGTCACTCTTCCATCTCCTTGTCTCTTTTTGATGGACTCTGGGAGAAACCACATTCTTGCATTTTTTAAAAAAATATGTTTTAGTTGTAGATAGACACAATATCTTGATTTATTTATTTTGAGGTGGTGCTGAGGATTGAACCTCACAGTGCAAGGCAGCAAGTGCTTTACCACTGAGTCTCAACCCCTGATCCTGCATTTTTTTTTTTTAAATGGCTGTCATGATTTAACTTCTTGTCCTGTTTCTTTGTTGGAGCATCCTGGTTTTTGTTTTTGGCCTCTACCTCACCCAGCCTTTGGTAGAACCCAAGACCCATCGTTCTGAGCCTCTGGGGCTGCTGCCTACTGGTGCAGGCTCCCTTCCTGCCTCTCCTCTGCAGCAACTCTCATCTGGGTTGAACTCCCTTAGCCCGGCTGGTGGAGTCTGCCACTCCATCTGTGTGCTGGGCTCTCAAAATCTGAGCTGTCACTCTCTCTCCCAGTGTCTTTTGACATCGTGGCTTTGTTCCTTTCTGCTTTCCGGAAGTCTGGTCATTTCACTACATGTCAGAAATGGACATTTTCAGAAATCCACAATGCCTTCGTTTTCATTTTCAATGTGTGGGACAGTGGTGGGTCAGTGTTCCTAGGCTTCAGAGTTCACATAGCCTAAAAGGGTGGGCGGTGAAAAGTCTGGATCCCATCTTTGTCCCTTCTCTGCCCCCTCCTCTGTCAAGGGTAACTACTTTTAATAATTTCTTCTCTATTCTTCATGCTTTCTTTACATAAATGCAAACAATTGTGGGTCTATGGTCATAGATACTTAAATGTATGCCTTTTCTGTATTTCCGCTCCATCCCCTAAGTTAAGTAAAAGTAGTATTTTTCTGTTTTATACCTGACTTTTTTTAAAAAAAATCCTCTCTTAAAATCTGTCTTGGAAATCTTTATAGATTTACAGAAAGTTTCCGTGTCTTCTTCTATAAATTTTGCCAAATAGGTGTGTGAATTATGTTAAGTATCCTGTTGATGGACTTTGGACTGGTTAATTCTTTTGCTATTACCTATATTGTTGTCCTAATCCTTCAGATAGATCATTTCCTACAGGTACAAGTTTGTAGGCAGGACCAATTCTCAGAATTGGGTAGCTTGGTCAGTGTGGTTTTGTTTGCATTTGTTTTGTGGGGTGCTGGGTGTCCCACGCAGGGCCTGGTGTATGCCAGGCAAGCACTGGATCTGCATTTTTGACAAATACTATCAAATTTCCCTGCACATGTTGTAAATGTTGTAGGACATTTACACTCCTCTCAGCAGTAAGAGAATGCTTCTTTCCTTATAACCCTCCAGTAAAATGTACTATAAAACCTTTGGATTTTTGCCATTCTAGAGAGGGAAGTGATACCTCCCTGTGAGTGTGAGAGTGAGCTTGAGACTGTTTTCATCTGTCTAAGGATCCTCGTGGCTTCTTTTCTGTGAACTTTCTGTGCATTTCCTTTGGTTGTTTTCAGACCGATTGGTGCAACAGTCCCCAACTTCTGCCAGTTGACTCTTCCAGTGGTCATATTGCCATGCAGAAGGTTTTTATGGTAGTTTTTCTAGGTAGCCTACTTATAAATTGTTTCTTTTGTGACATTTGAATTTTGAGTCATTCATGAAAAACCCCTTTCTTTCACTCTAAGATTAAAAAGTATTTATCTTGTGTTTTCTACTAGCAATTTTAGAGTTTTAGATTTTTTACATTTAAATCTCCTCTTTGGAGTTCCATGATGCTCTGGAGAAAGAGAGAGAGAGATCCACTTTTTTCCCTAACCCCCAGAAGATACCAATTTGTACCAAGACTATCACTAATTGAAAAGTCCACTTAATTCCTTGCAATGCTATCAGATATTGCATTTTTATGTTTGGGTGTATTTCTGATCTTTGATTTTTTTTTTTTTTTTTTTTTGTCTATTGGCTTAAAGTCCCAACCTACAAATCCTGCCTTGATCTTTCTGGTGACTGGTCCCATCTTAAAGCTACGCAGGAGCTGTCAGTTAGTATAGAAAAAGACACTATAACTTTTATAATTCCAAGGAGCAAACATCCTTACAATGTCACAGAAGCCATTTAAAGGTTTTAAGTCGAGAAGTAAGAGCATAACCTAGTGTACAAATGGAAATAGTTGCTCAGCTCTAGAGAGAATGAGTAGACAGCAGATCCCAATGAGACTAAAAGTTGAAATTACATTTAGGAGGATGTTTCTGGGGCTCAGGTGCACAACAGTATTGACTGGATATTGACAGAGTGTTCCAGACATGTTTTGGAAGTAGAATTAGTAAGAATGACTTTTGGACTGGGTCTTATGGGAAGAGAAAAGAAGAACAAAGATGAATTCCGAGCTGCCTGGTCCAGATGGGTGCAGAGGTTAGTAAATTTTAGGCCGTGGTTCATATTCTGTGCAGGGCCAGTGTTTGTCTAACCTACAAGTTTTATAACTCTATGGGTGGAAAAAAAAGAAGAAGAGCAAGAATATGTGGCAGAGAGTATAGTGGCTCTATGTGACCTGCAAAACTGGAACTATTTGCTTATCTAGTCCTTTACAGAAAAAGCTTGCTAAAGTCCCGATCAGTGGGTTTTGTTATTGTTCACTGAAATAGAAAGTGCAAGAAGAGGGATATTTTTGGTCACTTGAGAGGTGGGGAGAATCATTTATCTTTCCTGAAATGTTTGATTCTAGTTCTTGTAGAAAAGACATTGACCAAAGTCCCAACTGTGATTCTTATTTCCACTTATTGCATATTTAATTACAGATGTGCACTTTGAAATTTTTTGGAAGAAATGGGGTGAACATAGACTATATTGTGTGGCTACATAATATGGGGCTCCCTTTTATGGGAGATTTTGCCTGAGGGAGAGCTGCAGCATAAGGATTCAGCTAAGGCTGAGAAGTGCTCTTTATGATTAAGAATTGAGAAGTATGACCTACTGATCTTTTCTGATTCCACAGAATTCGTTTCTTGCCCCACGTGACTCTTTTTCTCATTCTGTTATAAGCATGTCCGTTTTTCAGCTATGCCAGTGGAAAATGTCCTCCTGCCCTTTGGGGCCCTGATAATTGAGACTTGGGGTTTGGACCTTTGCAGCCTATTGCCGGAACTCTCTGGATGGCCAGTGGTACAGTTACGATGACAGCATGGTGGAACCCCTTCGAGAAGATGAGGTCAATACCCGAGGGGCTTACATCCTGTTTTATCAGAAGCGAAACAGCATCCCTCCCTGGTCCGCCAGCAGCTCCATGAGAGGTGGGTACAGCTGCTTGTTAGAAGAAGGCATTTGGGATGTCACTGTAAGAATTATGAAGGCGTTTAGTTGAGTATCGAGGACCAGGAAGATAGGCAGCTGCTATAAAAATTTGAGTCCCAGAGCCAGATGTCATGAAACATGTATGTAATCCCAGAGACTTAGGAGGCTAAGGCTGGAGGATCACATGTTTGAGGCCAGCTTCCCACAATTTAATGATTCAAAATAAGACTAAAAAGAGTTGAGGATATAGCTCAACAGTGGTATAATGCCTCTGGGTTCAATCCTTAGTTAAAAAAAAAAAAAGAGTCTGAACCCCATAGGCCAATAACCCATTTGTCAAGATGTGGAATAGATATATTGTAAATCAAGATAGGGGGAAAGAGTAAGTATTTGTATGCAGGACTTTTTTTTTTTTTTTTTTTTTTTTTTTGGTATTGGGGATTGAACTCAGGGGCACTCAGCCACTGAGCCACCTCCCCAGCCCTATTTTGTATTTTATTTAGAGACACAGTCTCACTGAGTTGCTTAGTTCTTCGCTTTTACTGAGGCAGGCTTTGAACTCGTGTTCTTCCTGCCTCAGCCTCCTGATCCTCTGGGATTATAGGCGTGCACCACCACACCTGGCTTGTATGCAGGACTTGTGATACTTGGGGGTATGTGATTCCATTTTTCCTAATCTTGGTCATGTCAAGCCAGATTAAATTAAACTGATGCCATGTAAACCGGATTAACCCTTAGAAAGGGAAGAGCTGTTAAAAGCGGTGCAGGGCCTTTCTAGAAAATGTAGCTGCTCAATGGCACCCCAACAATTCATTTGTTAGCCTTAAACTTGCTTGAGAGTCTAGGGGGGGAAAAGTGCCAAAGCTGACCTTTTTATGTGACCTGTTCCACTTTGCAAAGTGGCCATCCTTATCTTTGTTTCAAGAGAACACTTAAATTAAAAAAAAAAAAAAAAGTAATCTGATTTTCTAAAAATTATTGGAAAATGACCATAGAAAACCAAGGGCCCTCAGCATGTCTGTGTAAACTCTAATGCAAGTCTTCCTTCTATTTGTAGAAGGTAGACATTCAAAGAAGAATAAACACTTAGCATAACAAGAGATAACAAAAGATTTTCATACTTTTCAGCATAATAATGTCTCCTGAGATCAAAGGGTAGATAGGCATTCTTCATGTCCATTATAAAAGATTTGGTTTCCCTGAGGTTGGGGTATGCTCCTATAGTGTAGCTATTATTATATGTTGACCTGTAGGAACTGGAGCTGTGGGTCCTGGGGATAAAATGCAAGTATTTATTTCATTACTCATCAGTACATTTTTCTTTTCTTTTTTTGGTGCTAGTGATCAAACCTAGGGCTTTGGGCATACCAGGCAAGAGCTCTACCAACTGAATGACCTCCTCATCTGTACTTTGCTTTCTGCCACCAAATTCCTCTCTCTAAACTTGGTCACATGGATACCCAATCACCGGTTTCCCCTCTGGTCATTCACTTTTCTATCTGCAGCTCTGCTCTGGGACCGTGGTTCCAGGGCTGAGTGGTAGGAATGGGAATCTGGGCATAGCAAGCTCCCCCTGAGCCCTGAAGGGAGGCTTTGGGTCCAGCCTCCACATGTCTGTGCTTCCTCCACAGGCTCCACCAGCTCCTCCTTGTCTGACCACTGGCTCCTGAGGCTCGGGAGCAACAATGGCCACAGCACGAGGGGAAGCCTTTTGTCCTGGAGTTCTGCCCCCTGCCCGTCCCTGGCTCAGGTGCCTGACTCTCCTGTCCTCCCAAACAGCCTCTGCCACCAGGAAAAGGGTATGTGGGCTCAATTTTGCTGGCTTTCTTTTCATTTTATGTCACAACCATTGTCCCTTCTCTTTATGACAGGGTCGACATGGCCTCGAGTAGACAATGTTATAAGAGTTTTATTCATCTCTCTCTTTTTTTTTTTTTACGTCGAGAAAAAAATTTTATTGCAACTGCTCTGATGAATATTTTCGTCAACACTTTCACCTCTTTGTTCATTTGTCAACGACCTGCCTTTGCCTGCCTCTCCCCTCCCCTCCATGATCCTCCATCCATAATACGGTGACCCTCCATTTCTCCAGGATGCATATTAGTCGATTCAACCAACCATGGACTGAAAATCTTTGGGGAAAAAATTATGCTTGTACCAAACATGTACAGCCTTTTATCTTGTCGTTGTTCCCAAGAAAACATACTGCAATTACTTCTATAGCATTTACACTGTATTAGGCTTGATAATCTAGAGATGATATAAGTACTTGGGAGGATGTATATAGGTTACATGCAAATTCTTCACTATTTTACAAGGGTTTGAGCATTCAAGGATTTCATTAAAATTCTTCACCATTTTATAAACATTCAAGGATTTCAGTATCGTCAGGGAGTCCCGAAACTAGTTCCCTGTGGAATGTAGAGATGGCTCTACATTCTTGCTCTGCTCCCATGGAACTTACTGTCCCACCTGGGGACAGTAACTAAGATGGCAAAGTGATGTTAAGCAGAGATAAGAACAAACCATAAATAATCAAGAAACAAGATATGGAGGCAAAAGTGAAAGAGATGCAGAATCCTGTTCCCTAGGGTGAGTGGGGAAGACCTTTCTGAGACCGTGACTTCGAGTCAGAGAGGGTGACTCACGTGGAATTCTGGGAGTGTGCTTTGGGAGCGAGCGTGGGGTGTTGTGCGGGGCAGAAGAAAGCAGAGCGGTGGTCCCAGCAGAGTGAATGAGGAATTGGGAGGGACTGAAGGTGGACCGGAGCCGATTACGACAAACCTGTTGGACCTGATTCCAAAAGCAGTGAATTGGAGAGTTTTCCGCAGGGAAGAAATTGGTCTGATTTATAGTGTTAAAAGTCTACTGTGCTGCTGTGTGAAGAATCCATGGAAGAGGGGCGAGATTGGAAGGAAGGAAGAGGTCGGTTAAGAGGCTTTTGTGAGAAAACGGTGGCTTGGACTGCTGTTAGGGAAGGGAGGGCCACGCTGTGGCTCTGTCTTGAAGACAGGGCTGGCAGGATTCATGGAGGCTGGATGCAGGATCTAAGAGAATGATTCAGGGTGGCTCTTCAAGATATAATGAGGCTCTTGAAGATAAATAATTTGGTGAATAGTCACGTAGCCCATGAGATGGGAATGAGTTGGGTAGGAATAGAGTCAATTCTGGAGGGCAGTCCAGTTCTTGGCAGGGTGATTTTTAGATTCCTAGAAGACATCCACATCAATGTAATAGCTAGGGAATGGAGATGAGTATTTGAGAGTCATCAGCAAATGGATGGAATGGAAAGCCACACGGTGTGCTGAGCTCTTCTTGAGAAATAGCAGAGGTAGAAAGGAGTGGAGACTAAAGACCTAGCCTGGGAGTTCTGCCCCCTCTCAGGGTCAAGCAAAGGTGGAGAGGTCAGCAGAGAAAACCAAGATGGAGCAGCGAGCCACATGGGAAGCTAGCCAGGGAAGTATGGCTCCCAAGTGCGGAATACGGACTCTTGCCAAAGGAAGTGGCTGTGCCTAATACTTTTGGGAGGCTGGGTAGTGTGAGGATGGGCAAGTGGCCATCAGGATGGAGGGTCCCCTGTGATGCACTGAGAGCATCTGCTGTGGGTTGGAGGGAATGGAAGCCTGGCCGCAATGGGTGGAGAAGAGCCTGGGGTCCTGGAAGTGACAGTCAGCATGGGCCATCCCACAGTGTGATCAAGGGGCCAGTTGCAGCAGAGCAGGGGGCTGACTGTGGTTTCTGTTTGTTTTCTTTGCCAGGTGGGAAGTAACAGAGCATGTCAGCATTCAGGCCATGTAGTCTAGACTCCTAGTGCAGGACAGCAAGGGGATCTTTACAGAAACAAAGTCATTCGGAACTTTGTGTCCATGTGTGTGTGTGTGTTCATGTGTCTGTGTGTGCACGTGCGTGTGTTTCTTCAACCTCTGCGCTCCTTGGGCCCTAAAGTGGTCACGTTACATTTTTAGTTTTCTTACTTCCTATCATCTCTTAATTTAGGTTTTTATATAAAATTTCAATAGAAACATAATATATAGAGATCACAATGGAAATATTAAATATACACTTGTGGGGCTGGGGATGTGGCTCAAGCAG